CAAAAAAAAAAAAAAAAAAGAAGAAGAATACAGAAGGTAGAGGTCTTCATACTGTGACTCTAAAAAAAAAAACCCTCTCCCCAAAAAAAAAAAAAAATCCATGAAACCTCATTCAACATCCATTTAGGTGCAAACGTCGACACACGGGGAGCAGCACGCACGCATAAATCACACAGCCGGAGAAAATGTTCGCCCATGGGCAAGGCATGACGGATAGACTCATCACTGATGTTGCATCTCTGCACAGTCATATTCTGAATGATTGCACAGCTCCTCTGATCTGGTCAAATAAAATGTCTAAAAAAAAAAAATCGCAAGCTGGTTGTAGAATCCAAGACAGCAGGGAGGTTTCTTTTTTTTTTTTTTTGCAATGGATTCCCAAATCATCCAACAACAAAAAAAAAAGGCACAGATTTCACGGGGAGGAATGGTCCGCCGCGATCCGAGCAGGGAGTCCTTAAAGAAATTGCGCAGTTTTTATTCCATTGAAACGGAGACTCTTTTCCCTTCTGTCCCCGTTGAAAGGCTCTTTCCCTTCCTCCTCCCTCCTCTCCCTGCCTCCCTCCTCTCCCTTTCTCTCTCCTTCTCTCTCTTTCCTCATGCAGGTTTATTTTCAGTGGAAGAGTCTTGGACATTAACTGCCCCGCCTCCATAGTCACTGGCAAACACACTGTACAACTTGCCCAAATTCCATTATTAACTACTGTTCAATAGTAGAACAACTGGACCCTCCTTAGAAACTATCTGGTTCAAGAGTCAAGCTCTCAGTTGGAGGTAGTTTGTGGACCAAAAAAAAAAAAAGGGGGCCAAGAGCCACTTGAAGCAATCAGAAGTTGTGCTTTGGAGATGTCTGCTAATCCCGTCAGGTGCTGACACTTCCCAAGAAACTGAAAACTAGGGCAAAATCAAATTAAAGCACAGATGGGATTCAGTTTGGCTCCCAGGAGTGCTTGAGGTGTTGTGTGGGGGGGTCTCCGCACACTTTAATTCAAGTAATACTGTGTTCAACAGCAGATGGTGTAATGTGGTTAGACACTTTCCCTTGAATGTCCTCCAAAGTTTCCAAAGAGAAGCACTGGAGTTTGCCGAGAATAGCCGTAATAAGTCCTTTAAATGATAATGGATTCCCTTTTGAAGAAAAAAAACTGGTGAAAATGTAGAAATCTTAGGTTTTTAAGTAGATGGGAAAAGGTCACCAAACAGTTTGTATCATTATTGTTTCCAGGAATAGCCATAAAACTTTAGAGTATGTCAGTCCATGTATAATATGACACGGTTCCAGGCTACATTTACACCCTAGTACATTTCAGCTCAAGCGTTTCTCCATAAACTCCCCCTAACTGATATTTGTTACAACCAGGCCAGAGAATAAGCCAATTTGAATTTGAATTCAGCATGTTGCCCCCCCCCCCCACACACACACACACACACAGGCCAGAGAATAAGCCAATTTGAATTTGAATTCAGCATGTTGCCCCCCCCCCCCACACACACACACACACCACCCAGAGACCACCAGTGTACACAGAGACCTGGGTCTGATAAAGAGGCTCTTAAACCCTGAGGAAGTCTGTGTTTGGTCTTTCAGGGGGGACAATCCTTAAGTCTGAATACAACCTTGAACTCAGCCCCTCCCTCGCTGGTTCCCCTCTCTCATTACTGGATCATTCTTCCTCCCGGCTCACTTTCTCCAGGGTCCTTCTCTTGTTTTTTTTCTCTCCCTCCCTTTCAGGAGTTTGGGCCGAGTCCTTTCCAGTGGGGAAGTCCGGGCCTTCTCTCTCACAATGCTGAGCGACTCCAAACGTCTTGTCTGCGAAAGCTTCATTAGAATTCATTTGATTGAATAGCTTCATTTCTCCTTCAGTCACTGCCTCCCCTGTCCTCTTTTTCAGCCTGGGAGAAATGCACATTAGCATAAAAATGTCCTTTACCTCACCTTGATCAACTGCATTGTTTGCATGTGTGCCTTGCTGTGTGTGTTTCTTACAGTGGGTTAGGTTACTTTGTGTACGTGTGAGTGGGCTAAACCACATCTAATTTTAACAATTTTAAAATATATTTTAGTTCAAAGATAAAAATCTACCACTAACATTAATTGATTTGTATTTCTACGACTTGTAAATAGTGGGCATGTACATTAGAAAGAACCCCTTGGAATTGCCTGGTTTTCTTCATCAGCTGTTCCTAAAGATGTAATCGGATCTTCGTCTAAGTTACAAGTATAGACAAATGCAGTGTCCTAAAGCTAACAACACACAAATAATTATAATCGTTTTTGTTTTTACTAAACACACCCATGAAACATTCAGGAATTTTGGACCACAAGACTGCTTCAGCTCAGCCATTTTCTTCACATTTCTGGCTCTCTCGAGGTCAATCCACAGCTCCAGTTGGGTTCAATCATGGACTCTGCCTGGACAACTTTGAAAGTAAGATTTTCTTTGTGTAAAGTTGCTCTGTAGATGATATAGTTTGAATGCTGCAGCAACTTCCACTGAGCTTCAGCCTTTGGGGAACCACTATGGTAACATATTTTATGAGGGGGGCTTCTTCTTCTTCTTCTTTTTGACTTCACTTTTTCAGTTTTCTTTGGTGTGCCTCTGGAGCCATCTTTGCTGAGGGCCCACGTCTAGGCAAAGTAGTCACAATCACACTTATGCAAATGTTTAAATCGTACCTCTTTGAAGATCTCTGCAGCAGAATGGAAAATTCAAAATATTAAGTATGAATAGTCAAAGTATTAAGTACAAATAGTCAAAGTATCTCTGAACCACAACTCTAATCTTGTTTCCTTGAGACAACTCTAAGTTAGTTAACTCCTGACTCTAGTTAGCTCTTGTTGACGCCGTTAGCCTCGGGCTTCATATACTTCTTCCAACCTACACTGTAAATGTTTGAAGTATGTATGTAATATGGACAAGAACAACACAATAATGTGTGTGGTATGAGTTAAATGTACTGCATTGGTATGTAATTGTAACTTGGATGAAAATCTGACCATATTTAAAGGTTTTTACCTTGATAGCATGCCATTATGGTGTCTTTTATAAGCTGCAATGTACTGATGACAATCTCACAAACATGAATTTCACATCTCATTCCTTTTATATGTTTTAGTATTGCCTTCATTCTCCTCTCTTCTTTCTCTCAATGTCTTCATACCTCATCTGATCCAAATAGCGACAACAGCCCCTCATAGATTCTCATCCATCCATCCATTATCTATACACCGCTTAATCCTCACTCGGGTCGCAGTGGAGCTGGAGCCTATCTCAGTCGACGTAGGGTGAAGGCAGGGGACACCCTGGACAGGTCATCAGTCTATCGCAGTGCTACACTTAGAGACAGACAACCAAGCACACTTACATTCACACCTATGGCTGGTTTAGAATGACCAGTTAACCTCAACATGTTTTTGGACTTTGTGGGAGAAAGCCGGAGAACCCAGAGAGAACCCACGCTGTAGGGGGAGAACATGCAAACCCCACACAGAAAGATCCTGGGTGTCCTCACCGGGACGTGAACTGATGACCTTCTTGCTGCGAGGCAACTGTGCTAACCACCGAGCCACCTTGCAGCCCAGTTTCAAACATGTATGACTAAATTATACAGTATATAATTTATGTAGGGCACCGGGATCTCTCGTGGAGTTTGCATGTTCTCTCCGTGCAGCGTGGGTTCTCTCTGGGTTCTCTGGCTTCCTCCCACACAGTCCAAAAACATGTTGAGGTTAATTGGTGATTCTAAATTGTCCGTAGGTGTGAATGTGAGTGTGCTTGGTTGTCTGTCTCTAAGTGTAGCCCTGTGATAGACTGGTGACCTGTCCAGAGTGTCCCCTGCCTTCGCCCTGAGTCGGCTGGGATAGGCTTCAGCCCCCCCGCCATCCTAGTGAGGATTAAGCGGTGTATAGATAATGGATGGATAATCTATGTAATTACTCCAATACTACAATTTACTACTGTGTAGGGTACAGCAGTTTTACAGTTTTACAGTGTAGAAGCAGAGTTGTTGGTGAGCTGCTGTGCTCGAGCTGCAGCGAATAGGAAAGGATTAGTAGAGAAAGAGGCAGAGATTTCATAGAGCTGAACATTCTAAAAGAAGCAACAGTATATTGTTAAATCTAAGCCATTTTAAAGCAGAAAGAGACCATTTTTTTTTGGAATAAAATGTCGAAGTATATAACTTTGATACACAAAGATGAGCTTTTCGGGGTAAAATCAACAACCACAGAGGGACTTTTAAACAATTTCTACACATATACAGATAATTCAAAAGGGTTCACTCACTTTTTTTTTCCCAGTCTTTTTGAATATTCAGTGTATTCCAAAACGGAATCACAATATAATAATTTAGCACATATTTGGCACACGCTTTTTAACGCTCAGAACTGTCTTTGAGCAAGTCCTTTGTCAAATCTGCTATGTTCACACAAAATAGACGACGATGTGCAACACCTCATCAGACTACGAAGGAATTCAATGAGCACACACTCAAACAAGCAGACACTTGATCCAGATGTTACAAGGAAGCGAGTTTCCAGTAAAACACAACACCACGCAGTAGGAGGTTATTCCGTGTGCATGTGTGAGTGTGCGGATGTTGGTGTGTCGGTGTCTATGTTTGAGAGGGGTAGAAAAGGGTCAGCATGGAAAGACTGATGCAGGTCTGTGGAGAGAACTGCATATTGGCTCAGTGAACAGCTGCTGGAGGGAAAAACCAAGAAGATGGGATAGAGATCTACCAGAAGTGTGCAGACAATCTTCAAACAGTCAAGCAATGGCTCTTGTTAAACCTCAGGTGTGAAAATCTTTATGGAATGCAAAATATTTAAGAACACAATCATTTTCTTTGAACTGTAGCTTTATGCCCTTTAAAACTTGAAGGTCACAAAGAAAAACAATAAAAATTGATAACATGTAATACAATTATATTAATAAATAACAATAAGCGCCACTAGAAACAAAGTGTTGGCCAATATGTGAGTGCGTTTGTTAATGCCTTCAGTTGTCCAGGCTCATGAGAAGAGCAGTCCCTCTCTTGATCCAGTGATCTGGACTCACAGCTCCGGATCTGAGGTCAACGGCGACCACAAAAGAGGCTCGTCCTGCCACACCAGAACGCACCGGGAAGTAGTAACACGGACACAGGTACATATCTACAAACAAGATACACAGAGCCAAGTAAGTGAAACAACACAGCATCAAACAGATGGCGAAAACAAGAAATGAATGAAAGAAATGAAAAATACTTTATTCATCCCAGAAGGGAAATTCAATTGATTTTTTTTTCTTCAAATTGAAGATAAATAATTAAAATTCAAATCAAATTACACAAGGATAACAGAGAAGAAGTTTTGTGGGGTGAGGTGAGGAATTCCATATCAAAAAGTCCCATAAAACTCACTCTTAGCCATCTTCTTGCGGTTTTCCACTGGTTTAAAGTGGATGGTGGGCATGGGACAGACCATCTGCATGGGTTCAGCTTCCACCAGACAGGAGTTCTTCTTGTCCCAACCAGCTCCCTCCAGGTACAAATCTCTGACAAATATTCCATCCTGGAGGGAAAAGAGGCGGGTAGGAGAGGAAATGAGAGGACAAACAAGGGGGAATGGAGGGGGGATGGAGGGTTACAAGCAGGGAAAGGCAACAGGAGAGATATAAATACTTGCTGTGAGATGACTTTGGACAAACATATATGCCAATTAGGTAATTAAACTAAGAGCGTGGCAAGGTGAAACAACAGAAAATGCATGCCTGCAAGGGGAAAGATGGACAGAGGAGAGAAGCTGGAAAAACGGAAAAGGCAGAGGGAACACAGGAGTGGCACAGAAAGCAGAGATGAATGGGAAGCACTAGGTCATGAGAGAGAGTAGGAGAATAGAAAGGGTAGAAATTTCCAAAGGAAAACATTGTGGGGAGAAGAGGTGTTAGAAGAGAGAGCAGAGAAAGGAAAGAAGAATTTGGACAAAGGAAAAGGAGCCAGAGAGACAAAAAGAAACGAGTGGGAGGAAGCACATAAGAGAGGAAGGGATAGAAGTGTGTATTGGTTTTGGAGTAGCATAGGGAGGTATAATGGAGAAAGAGACAGACAGGCACAGAGAAGCTGACACAGAAAAGAGTTAAATAAGATGGCTTGAGTAAGAAATCAAGTTACAATGACAGGTATTTGTGAACAACAGGAAAAAAAAAATATTTTAAGTGGTACGCAAAACAATTCAAATGCAAGAGCAGATTTGTGGAATGGGAAGACAGAAGCACAAAGTGGTGTGCTGCTTTGAATGAAAATATTTCTTTTTTTTTTTGAGAAAAATCACACAGTCGGTGTCTGAGCAGAAATGAAAAATGTGACAGAAACTGGCAATGACAGCAGAAAGCTAATGGCTCAGAAAAAGTGGTCTAATGGCAGGTTTATGGAAATCTATATAGAAATAAAAATGTGTGTATAGACAGTCACCTTAGGAGGGGAAAGGCTGTCATCCACAGTGGACACTATAAACTCCCAGGACAGTGTGTCAACTGATATCTGCAAGAACACACAATGGTAACTGTTGGCTGGACAAGATATCATTGCTGTTAACGGTTTAAAAGTGAAACAAGAACATTTGAATTCATCGCAGCAGAGTTCTGCTAGAAGAGTTGAGAATAATATATGCGCCTAAAGGAGTGATAGACAGAAGTATTTAACAGGTTGTGTCTGCCAAACTCGCACAGAGGACGACTGCAGTGTGCTTTGAAAACCAGCTACCTCCAAGCGTTTCTCAGGTGATTTCATGTGTCTAAGTTGTGTGGCTGTAAAATTCAATCTTCACTGTTTAGTCTCCAGTTGTAAAAATCACATAATAACCTCATGCATGCAGAATTACATAAGCGTCTGTATGTGCATGAGGTTGTCTCACGTTGTGTTGTCGAGCAGAGGACTGTAGCACAGCGGTGAGTAGGCTGTTGGGAAAGGTGAAGCCGGACAACCAGAACAAGTTGGGGGGCTGCATCGTCTCTGCCCAGCGTGCAAACTGATCGACTCGCTGGCAAAGATCCCTGGTCCAAGCTGCCAGAGGCTTCAGTGAGGGGTATGCCTAGTGGATAGAGAGAGGGAGAGAAACAGAGACATTGCAAATCTGCAGTCATTTCATGCTTCCAGCTGTTGGCAGCCGCTCATAATGGGAACAGTTCAGTACAGTGCAGTTGCACTGAGCGTTGATGGCCTGTACGTCTACCATCTTACCAGCACACAAAAAACGATGCAGGAAAATGTGTGTGAGAACTGTGTGAAAATTCACAAGTAAAGCGTGAACATAGTTAAAATATATACACCTCCATTTGATTATTGTTGCCTTTATTGTACTCAGTCAAGACTGAAGAAAATGTGGGTGAGAGAAGGGAAAATAGCACACAGGTCTACATTTAGAATCAAACGGGGAACATTGTGGTTATGTGGCATGTGTTTGAACAATTATGCGACTAAGATACAATGTTTACTTAGTTTGGTTGATTTGATTTTGCTTAAGGAAGATTTATTGGAATCTATTAACACTAAACCAGAGCATATTAGCGATTATGAGGGAAGGTGTTCAATGAGCAGTGCTCCAAAGGTTATCTAGTTTTGCTATCTTACACACAAAAGTACAACACATTAGGGAATGAACTGTTGGCTTGTTGCTGTAATTACTTTCATTAGTGCATTCACTCATTACTTTTTTAAGTAATCGATTAACAATTGGGGGCTGCAAGGTGGCTCGGTGGGTAGCACCGTTGCCTCGCAGCAAGAAGGACACCCGGGATCTTTCTGTGTGGAGTTTGCATGTTCTCCCCAGTTCTCTCCGGGTTCTCCGGCTTCCTCCCACAGTCCAAACACATGTTGAGGTTAATTGGTGATTCTAAATTGTCTGTAGGTGTGAATGTGAGTGTGCTTGGTTGTCTGTCTCTAAGTGTAGCCCAGCAATAGACTGGCGACCTGTCCAGGGTGTCCCCTGTCTTCGCCCTGAGTCAGCTGGGATAGACTCCAGCCCCCCCCGCGACCCTAGTGAGGATTAAGCGGTGTACAGATAATGGATGGATGGATGGATAGATTAACAATTGCATCTAAAATACATCAAAAATACTGACGGATGCCTGTTACATCTTTACAAAGTCCAAAGCTAAAATGTAATACACAAAGGCATTTAATGTATAAAGACATGTAACAGACCAAATGAATTAAATAATTACAAGATACATTTTCTTTCAGTCAACCAATCGATTCATAAGTTACACTTGAGGTACTGAGAGGAACTGCTGGAAAAGTTCCCTATAGTTTTGGACAGCGATCTGAAGCCCTTCAGTGAAAGGTAACTGACTCCTGAGGATGTTCCGCCTGTCGTTCAAAATATGTCTTGAGTTCTAACTGACTGAGAGTCTAGGAGTCTCAGATTTATATGCTCACCCGCAAATCACATGACTCATGGCCTGTTAACAACCCAAGACTCACATACTTTGGGATGTGAACACTTGTGAAACTGCTGGGCGAGGGATGGCTCGAGGTGGCAATTGTGGTAAAGCTGTCTGGTGACGGATCTCAAAACTGCCTGATAAGTACCTGATAAGTGGTGTCACTGACCCGCTCCTCTGTTTACAGCTGGCTATTCCAGTTTAAAATAGACGGGTTCCCCAACTCCCCTCTCAAATCATCTGTCTTCTCTGTCCAGAATGTGAATGCTCTCCTGTGTTGAGCCATATGCTTTTGGAGCTGATATTTAGTCTCCTCTCGGTCTGTGCACTCCTCGCTGTATTGGACTGCATATACAACCTTTCACAGTTGGGGTTTGGGTGTTTTAACCTCAGGGTGAACTAGTTTTTGTCTCTGTGTTGCTGGGTCTGAAGTGCACCAGGAGGTTGTGTTTGGAGAAGTTTCTTAGACAAAACAGTTACATATGGAATGACAATGTTGTTCCACCTGTTCTTTTCTTCTCTGTTTGACATCGTGCTGTTTTTTTTTTTTTCTTTTTCTGAGTAATGAAGGCCCAGTTGGGATAGCCACAGATTTAAGGTGCTTTCTTAATATATTTGTGCTCCTCTTTTGGTAGGGACATTCTCAGAAACTGGACAGCTTATGTTCAAGTGGTCAGCGGGAGCCAGTAGCTACTGGTTAGTATATATATGTTTCCAGTAAACTTCAATGTTGAGGTTTTCGCCGTCTTCAGTGTACACGGGAAAATTCCAAGAGATAAGTGAAAATACAAAATGCAGATCACATCACATGTCACAGTTGCAAAAGTAAAGCCTATGCATTTTGTCCCATTACATAATAATTGCTTGCAAACAGTATACAAATAAGAAACCAATATTAATCAGACTCAGCTATTTGCCTTGTGAAACAGAGAATCTTGGCCTCCATTAAATGGTTTTAGTTGTACTAGTTGTCAAGCTGCTATATAAACTTCATCACAGATCAGACAGACCAAACTTTTGAAGGTGAATTCTTATAGATTCCTAGAGTCAAACTGGTTGTTCTGATTTCTGTGTTCAGATTTCACTCTTTTTTCTACCTCAGGGATACTGTTAAAATGAAACCAGTTATATATGTACATTTACTTTTCAGTTGTCTTCCAGACCCTCACATTCAGACACAAGCTCGATGCTTGCGCAATGTCAACTAAAGGCCTGGAAAGACACCAAAATATTTATGTAACTTTTATTGGCTGTATAAATTTCATTGATTTATTTCAAATCCTTCTACAGGCACAGATACACATATACTATACAGTTCTCACATGGAAACACACACACACACACACACACACACACACACACACACACACACTCAGAGCCTTGTGTGGAAACCAGATACAAAATGGCCAGAGACAGAGAGGCAGGCAAGCCAAAATTAAAGCCATGCGTCTGTGAGCTCAGAGCTAATGACAGGCTGCTATGCCAAGGAGGGGTGGAGAAGAGAGGGATGAAGGGATGGAGGGATAAATAAGCAGGACTGAGAATCTATGAGGGCTGCAAGGTGGTGCAGTTGGTAGCACTGTTGCCTCGCAGCAAGAAGGTCGCTGGTTCGTGTCCCGGTGGGGGCACCGGGATCCTTCTGCGTGGAGTTTGCATGTTCTCCCCGTGCAGCGTGGGTTCTCTTCGGGTTCTCCGGCTTCCTCCCACACAGTCCAAAAACATGTTGAGGTTGACTGGTGATTCTAAATTGTCCGTAGGTGTGAGTGCGAGTGTCCTTGGTTGTCTGTCTATAAGTGTAGCCCTGTGATAGACTGGTGACCTGTCCAGGGTGTCCCCTGTCACCTGGGATAGGCTCCAGCCCCCCCGTGACCCTAGTGAGGATTAAGCGGTGTATATATAATGGATGGATGGATGAGAATCTATGAGGGGCTGTTGTCGCTATTTGGATCAGATGAGGCATGAAGACATAGAGAGAAAGAAGAGAGGAGAATGAAGGCAATACTAAAACATATTTTAAAAAAATGAGATATAGACAGAGGGAGATGAAGTTGACTTAAAGTACACACAGAAAAAGAACAGGACATAGCAAATTTGAAAAGGTTTGAGATAAATAAAACCCAAAAACAGAAAGAAAAAAAAAGAGCTGTCATGTTTACAAGTGGTCAGTAGAACATATGCTCAGCTGGAGGCACTAGCTCTAATAGCTATCCAATAGTCCAATAAAAGGAAATAGATACACACATGCACACACACATACAGTACATCGAGCAGTAATAAGCTGCTGGCTAGAGGACAATGAGCTCAGGGTCTTTTTAGGAAAGTGGAGTAGGCCTTGGAAGGTTTACTTTGCTTATTACACTATGATTAGTCCACAGACACTGGCTTTGTTCAGGCACTGAGGACCAAGGTATGCTCCACCTGATGAACAGCCATGCACAAACACACACCCACATACATACACATGCACAGCACTTAATGAGGACAGAATCAGACACTTGAATATAAACAGAAGTGCCCTGAGTGACCCCTCCTCAGTGAACACAGACACTGACACACACACACACAAACACACGCACGCGCACGCACACACACACTCCACTGACTCATATGCTGCACTCACACAAAGACACGCACACACACCCAAACTCACTTGTAAGCCAGAATCTTTTCAAGCCCCTTGACCCAGACTGACAGCACCCTGTGTTCTCTCCCCACTGTAAAGAGAGGTCCAGTGATAATGAAGCCGGAATGGAGCGTTCGGACAGAATCACAGCTGGAATACTGCCAGAGCGCCATCAGTGTGTGTGTGTTTGTGTGTCTGCGGTTGGGCAGACCAGAACAAGTGTGTCTGTGTATCCAGGCAGAGTGATGGATAAATACACCTTTAATAACAGACCAGCGAGTGAGCACAGACACAGGCCTGCAGCCGTTTTACTGGCCCAAGGAAGAACAATAGATCGGTGTCGATCACATCACATTCACAAAGATCGATAACCAAGACTCTGGACTGGACATCAGAGTGATCCCTGTTTAGTGGCAGCACACCATAGTAACCTATTGTAGCTGTTGCAGAGAGAGACACTTAGATGTAAATGAAGTCTGAATATGGAATGGAAAAATAAACACAGCAGTCTGTCAGCGCTGAAACATTATCTGTGACCCTCAAACAGAAATACTCGGTCAGAACTTGATCATACAGTACAGGAGGGCCAAGCCAATAAAGGCTGCATTTGTTTCACTGTTTACCTTGGACCTCGCACACTTTGTTATGTTTTTCAAAGCATTCTTTTATCATTTTAATCCCGACTCAGCACGGTCTTTTCTGTCTTGTATTATTCATGTCCACTCAATTCTCCACTGAGCAGCTATCTCAATATTATTGATCTTAGCAGCACTTCTTCCTTCTAGTCTGTGTCTGCCAACTTTATGAAGTAAGACACAAAGAAGGTAGCAGGTGTAGCCTCTCAGAGAGTCTCCTCTATCATACTGCAAGTGCATCAGCCAGGCAGTACAAGAATTTGTGCTTCACACTTATAATATGTGTAAGTACATCTATATGTTATAAGAAGTGAGAAGCTGAAGATTACCCATCAAGCAGCAGAGAGAAGATAACCAGGAGATGAAAATTAGAGCAGTAAAGCATACTAATGGTTTTTGATGTGACCTCAAAAGAACTCTTCAAAGGAAGATTGTGTGAATAATTGTGGGTGCTCTGTGTGTTCGTACCTTCTCCCACAGCGGTGGTACACGGGCATCATAGATGCAGTTGAAGGTTTCCTCCATGCTGGGTGACATCACCACAAAGCCTTTGATCCCCTTCTCCAGCTCCACCAGGGATGAGCTACAGACACAATCATATACAGTTACAGCAACAAGTGACAACAGTGGCTACATGGGCAATGAACTCTGATTCATTGCAAAATTTTGCAGTATAATCAATGTTTATCCATCAGTTCTTCCCAGTATATTGAAACAACAAGTTTCCCACAGACTGTGGGAGGAAGCCAGAGAACCCTGAGAGAACCGGGGAGAACATGCAAACTCCACGCAGAAAGATCCCGGGCGTCCTAACTGGGACGCGAACCGGGAATGTTTTCGCTGGGAGGCAACAGTGCTAACCACTGAGCCATCTTGCAGTCCTATTTGTCAAACCATTTATCTTTAACAATGTTTGGGTGTCAACATGTTAAAAAAAAAAAATGTATGTAATAATTGTAATGTATTGGTATGTAATAATTGAGCAACAGGGTGATTTTGGTTTACTTCATGGTAGGATTACTGCCCATAAATGTCAAACTGCTGACACAGCGACACAGATGTGTCTCTTTGGCTTATTGTCACAGTAATGTAATATGATGGCACTGAGGCTCCTGATGATGAGGAATTCCTTTTCGTACCATTCATTTTGGTTTACTAGTTGTCCATCGATAAGAAATGACAGCAGGCTATGTGCAAGATAAGGCAGCATAACCATGAAATATCTCATTCTACACTGTGAAATGTTTGTGTATGTGTAGATGCTAATTCTAGGGTCTCAAAAAGTTTAAAAGAATAAATTATTTAAGTGCCTGGATGCAAGCAACCCTTAGTATGTAATGGTGACAAAAGAACAACGCATGCATTTCAGGCATACAGCACTGTCTGTGCAAGATCCAAATCCAAATTAACTTTAATTTCCTCCTCTTTTAATCTCTGTTATTATCTCTATTCAGGATGGTACACAGCCTGCTGCAGTAACAGGAGGAGAGTAAGTAAGGAGGAAGTAGCAGGAGAGAAAGCCCTTACGTGAGCAGCACCACCCTGAATTGCTAATTATTCGCTGATGAGGAATTGTAATTGTTCTGCTGCGAATCTGCTGAATGTTAGTCAGATGTGCGTTAGTGTCACATTACACTTACATTCCTACCTTATTTGAGACAGTAGTTACACGCATAAAGGTACCCCACAAACAAGACACATGGCCAGAGGAAATGCTGACAGACACACACAGAGTTCATACGTGATGGTGTTCAGCAAAGAGTTGTATCTCTGGATCTCTTGCAGCAAGACCACATCGAGAGGTGTAGGGTTTTCCTGGAGGAGGGACCTGGTGCCTTCGTAGTCAATCGGTGCTGGGATCTTCTTACGAACATCTGTCAACAGCTCTAATACCTAAAAACACAGATTAAATGTTGTACAAAAGCAGATGTGACTCACACAGGCTTTTGTTCTTAACAGTAAAATATACGCAAACACACACAGAGACACACACACACACACTCCAGAAAAAAACAATTATACTCTAGCAACCACAAGAATTAAGAAAAAGGAGTTGGAAAATAAGATTGCCTTATCAGTTGGACAGATTAGATGTATTTAGTTGCACTATTACATTATCACAGACTTTAAAGCGCGAAGACAAACTATTACTTAAAGGAATGAGAGGCAATGTTCCATCAGATTAAAAAAAAAAAAAAAAAGAAAGAAAAATCTGGCTTTACCCAAAAGAAAACTATGTATGAGCCTGACAACATTTACAGGTGATAAAATATAATGAAATCAATCAATATGTGTACAATGGCACAGCATGTGGGAGCTATGTTTTAAAAAATGTAATTTAGTATTTAAATAAATGCTCTGACCTTTGTTTTGTACTAACAAAGCACTTTATCAACAACTAAAAGCACATTTTGATTTACAACAGTAAGTATAAAGTTCTAACAGCAACATAAAGATTCAGTTAGAAACATCCCAAAGCATCCTTTAAGGCATGTCCTAAAACTTTACAGGGCCACATTCTCCATCAAACACTGATTCCTGGATCTGTATCATATTACGCTGATGACTGTTAGCCAGTGTTATGTAACCATATGGCTGTTTCAGCATTGCGGGGGAAAATAATCTATCAAATATGGCTGGTTGGCTTCATGAAGAGAGCGTTTTTTAGCTGCAACTATTAACTGGTCTGTCACAAAAATAAAGAGAGAGGAAGGTTTTCAAATCGCATTGACCGAACCACATGCATTTTATAAATCACAGATCATTTGTGGCACTTTGTACATAGTGGTAGGAAATAAAGCCTAGCATATAATTACGTGTTTTTTTGGAAGTAAGTGAAATGTTTAACACACATAAGCTCCATCTAAACAAGGAGGATGGAAACCAAACTTCAAACTACGGGATACTGGAAAGACAACAAATACACTTGTGGGTCATAATAAGATGCTTATTGTTTTTGTCACCAGGTTTTCCCTTGACTTCCATGCCAACAGTTTCCAGTATGTATGTATTTGAAAGACAAGCTGCGTTGACAGATAACCTGCTCAAACATGAAAATCATTTAGTTGCGGATGAATGCAGAACTAAGTGAAAAAAAATTTTCCTAATTGATTTTCCAGAAAATGTATCACCATACCAATGTTGTGATATAAAATTACATGTACTGTGCCAGAGAATTTTATAAATAACACCCAGTCCTAAAGTGAGTGAAACTTCATCCATGTGCCAGACTACTTTGCAGCAGCTGCTAGTGAATCATATATCAGCACCCCAACTACCCATAATGGTGAGCGAAATGAAAACAACCCCAAATGCCACAAACAGACAAAAACAAAAACGGCATCACGCACTAGGTCATAAAGCAAACCACCATGTAGTTGTAAAAAACATGTTCTTTCAGCAGCTTGTTTTAATTTCTTTTCTAATTCATCACTATGTCAGTGTTAGTTCTATGTCGTGATGATAACAGGCCTTCAGCTTTTAAAAGAAAAAAGAGAGAAAGCTGACACAGGTTGAATTTCATTAGATGTCTGTAAGGTTTTTAATCAAGTCAACTATAAAAACTGTTCCTAAAAATGAAATTAGAGGATTAACTAAATATATTCTTGGTGTAGCGGTATGCCTAACAGACCATGCAGACATGGTGCTGAGCTGCCGAGAAGGATATTACAGTATATATGTTCTTGTTTGAGTTTACTGTTTCTGAGCACATGTTCCCAACATGGTGCAGACTGCAGCCTCAAATTAAAGCTCACAAAGAGTGATGGTAATATGATTTTAAGGGGACAAAACTTTTTTCCCAAATTCATCTATATGTACTCTATAATAGAGATGAATATAGGGTCCAGTATGCTGCTTAACTATGATGCATGGTCGTACTCACCACATTATGGTAAAATACTAGTCTGCCCTCCCATTTTACTACCTTGCCTCAGCCTCACCTTATCTTCTCTACTGGGCCTGCCCCCCGAGGTGGGGCTGGAGACCTGGGGCTGCAGGGAGAGCAGGGTGTCAAACAGCGTCCTGGTCTCAGCGATCTGACTTGCAATGTCGGCATTGGTGTGCTGCCCAAACACCTCAGGGTGCTCCGTGGGTGGCAGCACGTTGATATAGCTCATGTACAAGGATGGGGGGCCGTCGCGGGGGATGTGGTAGGAGGCTGAGCATGATAATCTGACAGATAAAAAGGGTTGACAGAACAAAAAGTGAGTGATATTTGAGGTTATTTATGAACACCGATGTATAGTAACTCAACAAAAGCAAAAAAACATACTTGAACATTATATTTTGGACACAGTTTATCTGCATATTTATGACTATGAACAGTGAACAGAGCACATTGGAAGTTGTCTATGAACATACTTGATATTACCCCATCGGTACACCTAGTAACATACAAAGCTATAACTGTAGAATCTAACCTGTCAGAAAATACACTGCATCTTTATTTCACTTGTTTCATTGTCATCTGCACACTGCTTTAATGGCAAACAGCTATTTAAGACTTTCAGAATACAACATTAGAGCTATCATTCTCACAATTTCTATTCCTTGCCAATGTAAAGGCCCATGACCCAGTTTCTCTTTACAGATTGTTTTCCTCTCATCTAATGTAATTCGGTGTATTGATGCATGTGTAGCATCACAAAACCATTACAATACAAAAATGCAAATATATACTTAAGTGTTCGTGTATTGATGGTATAAAAATGAATGTTCTGTTCGGCAGCTGCATGAAGTGGTTGTCATTGTATTGCACTGTCCTTTACCACAATCGCAAACAGCTACCAGAGAATTCCTATAGTCAGAGACAATGGAGTGCTAGAAAGTGTATTCTATAAATTTCAGAGATTTCCCCTTGAATTTTTTGAGAGCAGTTTGTTTAAAGTGAAGGATTTGCGCAAGTTACAAAACAAATTAAAAAAAAAAAAAAAAAGTCTAAGAGTTCACGGCAATGTTCATGTTCAGCGTTAAGTGGCAATATCGTGACTGTCCTCTTGGTGGTGCTGGCACTCTGCGGCTAGAAAAGTGCTCCAGCAAGTCCTTGTCTGCAGTTGGCGTCCACCACAGGAAAAAAAAGTCTTTGAGCTGACAACATGAATTTGAAGACTACAATATATGAATGTAAGAAACTTCTACAGGACATGCTTTTTCGTTTGAAAACCTAAAATATTAGCAGCATATTTTTGAATTTCTAAAGCTTACACTCCTAGAAGTGTAGTACAACGTGGCAAAAAAAAAAAAAAATGTGGGTCACAGTGTCTCACTTGAAGAGAGGCTCGTTTACAGCAGCGTCACAGAAGTAGTCGTTGATGTATGTGGTTAGAAGACGTCTGTCCCAGTCGTCTGTCACATGACCACCATAGTTGACCCCAGCGATGAGGTACTTCAGTGCATCCCAGGGAATCTCTTCATATTCATTGAGGTACAGACTCAGCAGACTCTCGCTCACCTAGGGAGGCATCAGGACGAGGATCTTAAAAGACTGGCTTTGAAATGCAAGGCAACACACCAAGGGCAAGTAAAAATTCTCCGCCACAGAAAGCAGACAGAAGCGGCAAAGACAGAATGGAGAGGGAGAAATGTTAACAAATGCAAGAACTGGGATTCAGCCTCATGCATTAGAGCTATACTTGTGATGTGATAGCTGTGTCACTTGTGTTTTGTTGCACTTGACTGCTGATTGTTTGTGATGTTGTTGTTTTCTGGCACTACGGAGCACTGAGCTGTTAGGATACTAAACCAAACTAACTAGGTTGTCATTATTCATTGGTCTAAATGGCAGGGTATAATATTGCTTCTCTGACTGTAATTTAAAGCAGAATACAGTCAGAGAAAACAGCAACCATGTGTAAATTTCAATCAATAAATCATTTCTAGCACATAGCCAGCCATAAAATCATAATCTTCACTACATGCTTTCTAACAGTTTTTACTGATTCTTTCTGTATCAGATGATGAACTGACCTCAAAGTCTGAATCATTGAAGCCATAAACAATGTTCCAACCCATCTGCAGAAACTTCTTCCTTTCCAACAGGATGCTGTGGAAAAAGCAGAGGGAGAAGAGGAGCTTCCTGTAGAATACGGGTCTTGAGCAGCAGTTAAACTGAGCCTCAGTCACCAGCTGGTACAGACGCTTCATGTTGGCTTTAACTCCCTGAAGACGACATGGTGGGCAGTGTTAACACTATGAAGGGTGTTACATGTAGGATGTACGTCTTACTCTAAAATATTGGTAGGCAAATAAAATGCAATTTTAAAAACAAAACAAAACAAAAAAAACTACAAAGAAGATTTGCTTTGGCACATGCACCTTTGGTGGCTCAGTGGTCATCTTGATGCCAGCCTGCAGGATGCTAATGGGAAATTCGGGATGTGGCGAAGAGCTGAGCCAGAGTCTGAAGTTCTTGTGGGGCTTCTGCACCTGTAGCTGCTTAATCAACTTGTCCAGCTCCGGCATCCATGAGAGAGAGAGGTGGCAGTTGGCAAGGAACACCCAATGACCTGGGAAGGAATAAAAAGCACTGAGATAAGCTGATATAACTTTGGATGTCCAGTTGCATTTCAGATATATTTATTGTGTCCATTAAAGGGAGGAAATCCATGATAAAAGCACATGTGACAGTTAAAACTAAAATAAATCGTTGTTGGATGAAAAGCATCACTATGCAACACAATCTATTTGAGAGAAAAGAGCAGAAACAAAGGGAGGGCAGTTGGTGTAGTACCGCTCTTTACGCCCTCCTCTATCATGCTCTTGGCAATGGGAGCCTGTCCCTGGCCCAGAGAGAGAGCATAGAAGTGCTTGCTCATGCCAGAGGCCTCAGCCAGTTGCAGCAGGGCACCTGTAGGGTCCACTCCAGGAGACAGAACAAAGATCAGAGGAGTACTGCTGGTGGATTCCTCCACAACCTGGGGAGAAAACAGACAGAGTTAAGAAATGTAACTTGCTTGACATATAATAATGGCCCTGTGATGGGATTGTGTGACATCCTAAGTTTTTTAATGAGCTACAATCAAATGGAATTAAACAGATTATATTATGACAGGGGCTGCAAGATGGATCAGTGGTTAGCACTGTTGCCTCGCAGCAAGAGAGTCGCCCGTTCGCGTCCCGGTGAAGGCACCTGAGATCTTTCTGTGTGGAGTTTGCATGTTCTCCCCCTACAGCGTGGGTTCTCTCCGGGTTCTCCGGCTTGTTCCCACACAGTCCAAAAATATGTTGAGGTTAACTAGTGATTCTAAATTGTCCGTAGGTGTGAATGTGAGTGTGCTTGGTTGTCTGTCTCTAAGTGTAGCCCTGTGATAGACTGGCGACCTGTCCAGGGTGTCCCCTGCCTTCGCCCTAAGTCAGCTGGGATAGGCTCCAGGCCCCCTGTGACCCTAGTGAGGATTAAGTGGTGTATAGATGATGGATGGATGGATGGATGGATGGATGGATGGATGGATGGATGGATGGATATTGTGACAGATTCCCGTCATTAAAATTTACACTTTTAAAATTAAAAGTCAAGATGGAAGAAGCAACAGTGATTAACAGCAGACACTCACAGCCTTCATGTCGAGAACAGGCGGCTCCACAAAGCGAGCGCCCAGGTGCTTAGCAATGAAGGAGGCAACACAGAAAGAAACACGGTCCTGACGTAGAGAGCGTACTATGAGCATCTTCTGGAATGGATTACAGTTCGTCTGCCAGTAACCTAGAAGAGAAAAACAGAGACTGAGGGTAAAGCTGGAGAATCCAAGGGCCATAGAGGGCAGTTTGGAAATGAGGAGGGGAGATGTAAGATTACCACGACGTGGATTATTAAGAGCTGAATATAAACAAAGTGAAAAGAGTAGTAAATAAAGCAAATAATGAGGGGGGAAAGCTGAGAGAAATATAGGCAAACCTCAGCAGCCCAGGTGAGGGCTGAGGCAAACTAGGCTGAGGCAAACTCTGTCCGCTATTATATTCAAATAGAGCCACAGTTTGTCAAATCATATCTACACGAGTGTAATAAACCAATTGAAGACATCCAGATACACACATATACAAACTCTCATGCACTTTTGCTCTTTTCTTTCTCTTCCAATAATAAATAACCAATTAAGTTAGAAAAATCAGAGAAGAGGACACACATTCATCAATGTATAGACAGCAGAAGAATGTTTTCCAAATCAAAATGAAGTTAAAAGTACTGATATGTTGTTCGAAACTGCCACAATGTAATACTTAAGCAAAAGCCGTGCTTCACAGCGGCATGAACAAGCTGCCTTTCTTGCACAGCAATACACCCAGCCTCTCAAGAGAGTACACTTCAGTTTCATTGTTCTTTGTGATTGAAATTTCCTTCAGTAATACAGTAACAAAGAAAAAGAAAAACCTGCCTCCTACAACACATACAGACCTGGTAGTGAGGCATTCTCTGGCTCTAAGTTGGTGAACCAAAGGTTCCAGAATCGAGAGTGCTGTTCAAAGGACTTCACGATGCCACAGAAGTTAGGCAACTTATTCAGCTCTGTGATGTTGTCCCAGCAAGAGTCTGCCAACCAGCTGGTACACGGGTTAGTCATCTGACCCTGTTTATCAAGTACCTAGAAAAACAACCATTAATTAATCACCAGTCAAACTTTCTCTTTGTAAGTATATCAATACACAGACCAAACATCCCACACATCTGTCATGCAGTATTAGGCCTGTCTCTGGGATATGAGAAAGTTATCACTTATGTAGAAAGGTTATTGATAATGTTCCAAGCTTTTGAAAATAAAAAAACTTTGTCCTGTTGGAATACCTTAAACTGAACAAGGCAAAAACGAGATGTATGTGTATGTTCTGTATTTCTTACAAGTCCTCCTCTGAGAAAGAAGTTGTACTCATCCATGTTGAGTTGGCCAGCCACCCCCAGGATTTTGGCACACATCTGGAAGCTGAAGAGCAGCTTGTGAACCTCAAACAGACTCCGACACGTGTACCTGCAGAAGACAACACACAAAATTAAGGAAAAATGCTGAGTTAACTACAATAACTGTACGGAATAAAGTGTAAATTCCTGATTAGTTGTATCAAAAAACGTACAATTCATATGTGATTTATTGATATTATTAAGTTATGGCATAACATCTGTATCAAAAACAAAGACATGTATAGATCTATCAGTCTACTGAAAATGTAGATATATACTATACCTTCCATTTTGAAATCTCAGTAATATACCATATGTAAACCAGTGTAAACCCTCACAACCGCTTTGTCACTTTTTAATAAGTGGAAGTGTTCATCTGTAGAAGGTACAGAAAAAGGCTTCTCTTAGTACACCTTAGCTTACCTGTACACTGCATATGTGTGGTAGTAATTTAGGTTAGCAATCCTTTCCTCCAGAATCTGGCTGGGCTTGCTCTTTTCGATACTGTGGTTGAAGAGGTTAATGTAGGAATCCAGAGAGAACTGGTACATGGGGTCAATGTGGCTCATGTCGTTTAGAATGAAGAAGAGAACGGAGGCTCGTTGGGCACATGAGCGGTACGCCTGTTTAAGAAAGAACATTTTAGCCCTTTAAGTTGTATGTTATTTCTTTCTCAGATTCACAATTGTAAATGACAGTGTAAAGCAGCCTCATGACATTGAGTCAGTAGAGCCTGATGCTCGTGAACCTGTTCTAAAAATTCTTAATTCTTATCTATCTAATCGTGTTTGTTATCATTTAAAACCATTTGTTTCAAATTAATAACGAAGAGCTATTACAAATGGATTCAATCTATCATAAGACCCAGTGAAAAGCAGTACATCTCATTTGCCCTTTCATCCCGCCACCCTACCTCTCTCGCAGAGTCGATCTTCAGCTCAGTCTGTTCACTGCTCTCCAGCTGCTCTGACACTTCATTGGCTGTCACTTTTGATGTCTGCAGGGTGTTTACCAGCTGCACATCATCTAGTAGTGAGCCAGTTGCCTCATTTAACAGTCTGGTAGGGAAGACAACCAATAATAACAACAACAACAACAACAACAACAACAAAAACTCTATAAAGATAAATCCAACAGCACACTGCCTACTAAGTGTAACCGACAAAGAAGACCACAAATGCAGAAGGCTGACATACATTGAAAATATAAATGTATACCTGTTTGTGAATTTATTCAATAATAATAATAATAATAATAATAATAATAATAAATCATATTTCCAAAAACATTTAAAATATTTGGAATGCCAACCCTGCACTCAATCCAGGGTTAAAAGTGTTGCGCATTCTTCTGTGAAAATCTTAACATTCGGAGGAAAAAAAGAAAACTGAGACTTTAAATCGATTTGGGTTTCAGCCAAGCACCACTTGGAAAAAATAACTTCTCAGAGGACTTCCTAACAAAAGAATGCTATCAGCTTTAAATGACAGAACATTAAGCCTGACTTTCGTCACGAGTTCCTTGCTCTTGCTACTATCACTACTGCAACTTCAAATATTATTAGTAATACAATACTGTAATTACTAATAATAATATAAAAACTGGAATGATCATTTAAACTGCATTTTGTCCAGTATGAAACAAGGTTAAGGGAACAATGTCTGAAATAATCAGTTATACAACCTAAGGATCTCATCCTCCAGGTCCTGCAAGCTTTTCTTGCCAGAGGCAATGCTGATCACCAATGAGTCCTTCTGTTCTTGTAGCTCTGGACGTTCTTTATGCACCACAATTCCCAGTAGCTGGGCTTCCAGACCCTGCACACACACAAATCCCACAGACAAGCTGACAATTACACAGGCAATTTAACTAGCTCGGACAGTAACAGAGTGCGTGGAACAGCTTTTCATATTTTAAATATGACATAAAGGAAAGTATATTAGCATATACAAGTTACAGAAAAAAAACATAATCAGATTACCAATACATTTAGCAAAAATGAGTACTACTAGTAGGGTTACAATTTCAAAACCTATTTTTATGTAGGCTAAAGAACATAATACAATGTAAGGACATATCCAATCGCAGACATTTTTAAAGGATCAGCATCATCTTAAATCCATTTCATATTTTTGGCACAATATTTTGTACTGAGGCAATCTAAAAGTAAAGGAAAGTAATCAAGTTGCTTTATTGCTTATATTATTGCATATTGTGACACTTGCATTAGGCTACTGATAACATTGTTGAAGAGACAATTAAAGGAACCCTCCCAACTCAGCGATTTTAGGCAGTAGCACATACCTACATACATCATCATCACCATCCATCCATTATCTATACACCGCTTAATCCTCACGAGGGTCGCGGGGGGGCTGGAGCCTATCCCAGCTGACTTAGGGCAAAGGCAGGGGACACCCTGGACAGGTCGCCAGTCTATCACAGGGCCACACTTAGAGACAGACAACCAAGCGCACTCACATTCACACCTACGGACAATTTAGAATCACCAATTAATCTCAACATGTTTTTGGACTGTGTGGGAGAAAGCCGGAGAACCCGGAGAGAACCCACGCTACACGGGGAGAACATGCAAACTCCACACAGAAAGATCCCAGGTGCCCCCACCGGGACGCAAACGGGCGACTCTCTTGCTGCGAGGCAATAGTGCTACCAACTGCGCCACCCTGCAGTCCCATCATCACCATACATCATTTAATTCTTTTAGATAGAGTCCACAGTCTGATTGGACTTTCTGGTTCTGTTTTTAACTGGTATAAATCCTATCTCACTGACAGAGTTTTTAGCAAGCACAGAAGATTCCACATCTAGGAGCTATAAAATGAATAATGGTGTTCCTCAGGGTTCAACTTTAGGTCCAGCACTCAACACTAAACGCTCAATACATGCTACCCCTTGGAAATGTCCTCAAGAGAGCATCAGTTTCCATAGTTATGCTGATGACACACAGCTGTACATCGCCATGTCTCCTGATGACCCCAGGCCAATTGATACCCTTTTAAATTGTATTTTAGACATTGGGTTGGGGTGGTAATGGGGGTAGGGGTCGGGGGTTGTTTGTATTGTTTTATTGAATTTTTTTTTTCCGTAAAGCATTTTGTATTGCATTTCTGTTTGTATGAAAAATGCTATAGAAATAAAGTCTGAGTGATTGATTGATTGACTGATTGATTGATTGATACTCTCAGAGTGTATGTGCACACAATTAAGCATAAAGAAGTACAAAATAATGAAACTGAGCCAAGTGGGCACACCTGCTCCTTGACAGCAAAGTTGACGATAGTGGTCTTAGAAGAAATCTCTGGTGGGTAGTGAGGGTTCGACAGCTTGGTGGTGATGTAGAACCGAAACTCTGGACTGTATTCCACCTCCTTATCTCCCAGCTTCAACAGCAGCCTGCCCCCTGGAGAATTACACACAAATGCAGACCCATATAGAGTCAGGAACCCACTTGTGTTCAGAAAAATCTTAACAGCTGGTATTTCAAACAGTTAATTTGTCCGTGCATGCTTGTGTCAGACCTATTCGTGTCAGAGACTTGTTGAGAATGGGGTTAAGGGAGGGGTCCAAGTCCTCCAGGACATTCTGTAGCAAAACAGGATTCCCAAACTGGATGGCACTCTCTAGCACCCGCAGGTAGTCTGGCATTTGAAAGTCTATTAATTTCAGACCCTGCATGTGTGGAAGGTAAGACACAACAAAACACAGCATGTTACAAACACGCAAACAACCTCAGAAATTCATATTTACCTCTCAGAGAAAAGGTTGAAAGTTTAAATTCATCCAACTGAGTGAGACTTTCAATTGCTGTTGTCATGTATTGGTCTGGTTTGATAAAGTGTAGTTTTAATTTTGAGAGGTGATGTGATTCAGTGAGGAAAAAGAATGATCAGACCATAAAAGGCAAATGCTTTGTGGATGATAGACACAGCAATAAGGAAAAAAGAAGAGTTTTTGTGGAAGGAAATGAGAAGCCCAGTCATAGTACTTTGGGGAAATCAATGAAAGCACACAGCTGCAATAAAAATGATTCATACCCTGTCACCTAAAAGACATTCTAGAGATGTAAATAAAATTCTATGTAAACATATTAGCTAAAGCTTTTGTAAACCTTTGAACAAAGTTCAATAATGTATGTTTGAATTATTTTTGAAAACATGACATTGAGCTTGCTACCACTAATGAAGAGATCAAAATTTTCCCTGCAGTAGGAGGAGAGCCCCATAGCCCAGCCTTTACCTTCTTCATTTCCATATTCTTGATCCACTTCAAAGCTTGGCCTTGAGGGTCCACCATCAGTGGCCATCTTGACAAGAAGGGAAGAAGAAGAAATAAATGAAGCCCACTTGTATTTGAAGCATGAAACATGTGTAGTACAGCGAACCAAGTCCAGTGAAATGATTAAATTAAAAAAAAAAACAAAACACAAAAGCATTTTATATAAGAATGCTGATTAGAATACAGTTTCTATTTATTAACAAACCGTTCAATAAGAAACTGTGTCTAACATGTACTGACCGGTTTCCACGGGTGACAATAACTCCGTTCTCAGTAGAGAATGCATCAGAGGGCAGACCCTGAATGTTCCAATCTCTCACTAGTGTCGGCTTGGACAGAAAAACTGCTAAATTGAATCCTGGTGTACATGGGATCTCTAAGTCCAGTATCTGAGGAGAGGACAAACAGATACACATGGAGTTTGCTAGAAATATAACCATAAGTCTGTAGATGTTATCATTCAAGTTGAAAATTTTAAGAAGACACTTTCCTAAACGACTTGCTAGAAAAGGTAAAAGGACTAAAAGTATATTGCTTTTCTCTGAACTGTACATCAGGATGTATTTTACATGGTGTGTGTTTGTGTGTCTGACCTCTTTCATCCAAATGGCAAGCAGCTCATCTCTATAGTTGGAAAGGAAGGGTCCCATGTAGGACAGGAAAGATGCTGCTAGCAAACAGTCTCCCACCAGGTATCCCATGTTTTCTTCAAGACCCTGAAATAGGCACACAGATTGAAGGAGCATGCACTTTATGGTAGTATGTGATTGCATGACCTGTTTATTGTTGAACTGGCAAAAATAAACCCATAGAAAGAGTTTCAGGGAGAAATACAGGAGTGATTATATTTTAGTTCTCTACATGTTTTTAGGGGTCAAAGTAACAAACTTTACTTTTGTTACAGTAACAAGTCATCTTTTGTATACTTTTGGAGTTGCCAAATACTGTACTCGGTTACATTTTAAGAGGCAAAAACAAAAGTTTCATGATAAAATCATTATAAACTGTGAGAAAACTACACAAAGGACAGGAGCACAACCACCAGAGAAGTATATGCTGGTGTATCTGAAGTCCCTGGAGGGAAAAACTTCACGTCAGAGAGGACACACTCTGGCTGGCTGGTTATTTGATTGGTGGAGCTTAAAGAGTCGAGGACAAAAGGCCAGGATTTCAAACAACGCATGCATATAAAAGGTTGAACCTTGAACCTTAAAAGGGAAAACCCAAAAAGCATAATATGGGCTCTTTATTTAACATTGTTTAATAAAGTCTATGATTTTGTGTTTGGTCTAATTTGGTAATTTCTAATAAGAAAGCACTAAAGAAGGCAGTGATATAGGTATTTATAATTACATGTTATATGCACAGGTTGCATGTCACTCTTGCCAAAAAAAGGAATGTGTTGTTGGTTTAGATTTACAATGATGTTCTGCAAGAATATACAATAATATTGAGTAGTCTTCCATCCCAGTGTGTGTGTGTGTGTGTGTGTGTGTGTGTGTGTGTGTGCCAGTATAGCTTACAGCGACTCTCTCCTCCCAGCAGACCCTCTCTCCAGCAAGTCCAGTCACCAGTTTGTCAGCTCGGTCCAGTTTCATCTCCATCTCATCTGATTTCTGTTTCAAACTCCTCTTCATTGCCAGCTTCTCACCATGCTGCTTTTTCAGTTGGTCTAGTTTCTCTCCTACCTGGACACACACACAAAAGCACAGTATTATTATACTGTCATATGCAAATTGGACTCACCATAATATTATAGTTAGACTCATTGGTTACACTGCACCAAGCTTTATACCTCTCGTAGTTTGCTCTGGGCCTCAGCCAGTGCAGTCTGTTTCTCTTCTAGCTGGGCCATGGCCGCATTGAGCTGGGCCCGCTTTGGCTCTACCACCCTGTAGATATGGCCATACATCTGGACAAATATTATGTGCATATATGGATTTAGATTTGGTTGCCACTCTTTCGTATTTATACATTACTTAACAAATTGCAAATGCTTTCTACTGCTGTTATGCAGTAATCCACTTAATTGTGTGTTGGAAGCCAGCAGACACACTCCTACCTCCATGGCTCTGACCCACATGCAGAGGGACTTGGCAGCAAGTGATACTTTGCCAATGATCTCGGGCTGGAAGTCCGGTTGTTTGCAGTAGTTGTCGATCTTCCTCAAAACACTGTCTGATATATTGTCCTTGTCAAAATTAATCAAGGTTTTGATGAAGTTGGACTCACCTACCAGAAACATTTCAAGGTCAGATGTTTAAGGTCAACATCTGTTCATGTCACATCCATACGCACAATCAAAAGCACATCTTTTAAACAACTAAGTGGTTAAAAAAATTGATTAAAGATAACTTTACACAGTAGACCAGCAGTCTCCAACCTTTTTTGCACGGACCAGTTTCAAGCAAGCCAATTTTCTATGGACTGGTCATCACGCTCATAACAAATAATATATATATATATTTATATATTTAATTTAAAAAGTGTTGTAAATGAATAAGATTGCTTTTTATTGCTAAACGTGCATTTATTTTTTCTTCTGTCTCAGCATTGAGTCTCTCCCTCTTTTCAATTAAGCTCTCCTGAGACATTTGTTTTTTATTCATTTTGGCAGCAGTTTGATTGACAGCTTCACTTAACAGTCCAGCATGAAAACTGACAGTCAAGTGCAGGAAACAAGCACAGATGGAAGAGACGGAAAGGCGGTCTAGTCATTTTTCAAAATAAAACACCCTGCAGACTCCACCAGAAATAAAATAAAAAAACACAATATTCTTTCTTTCTGTGCGGCCCGGTACCACATGACCCATGGCCCGGTACCGGTGTGCAGCCCGGTGCGGTGGTTGGGGACCACTGCAGTAGACAATAGTGATAAAGTCCATATGCATTACTTTGTTTTTATTTCCTATCATATGACCCTTTGGAACAAAAATGTTTTGACACAATTTGTTTGATAAATTCTGTTTAGTGTGTCCTACATAGATTTGTGTATGCCCAGAGAGTGTGTTTATTTTGCCCTCAGCTACCTTTCTTTTATGTTCTTCTACTACAGAGGAAATAGCTCTATAGTTGACTTAACGCCAACTGTACTCCAAATTAGTTATCGTAATGGCAAAACAAGGATAAAGAAGAACAAATTCATTTTTCAAATTCCATTATTGTGGTAATGTGTAACGGTAAGCGGTCTGCATTTATATAGTGGCTTTTAATTTTAGCAGTTCTACAAAGTGTTTTTAGGGCCACAGCTGCAGCTGATCCTCATGCATTACTTGCAGTCTCCCGTCTTTAGTGTAACTGTACACAATGTGTCCTTGTCTGGTTTTACTCTATCGATTTTCTGAATCTTTCAGCTATCCCAATGACAAACTTCATCCATCCATTGCTCAAGTGTGCACTGTTTCTCACCCAGTTGTCTTTTGGCCTCCACCCAGGTGGGCTCTTTGCCCTGAAGAGTCATAACAGCCTGCATCACTGTCTCCACCAATGCTGGAGGACGGCCATACGACTTGATCTCTGTCATGTCCTTCTTATTCAGAGACTCCAAAGCCTATGTGCAAAACCAAAGTAGGAATAGAGGAAGTGTAGGTGATAGAAGGATGAGTCACACATAATTTAAACATAAACAGACAGAGGGCACGCACAGAAAAGTAGAGCAAATACAGTGAGGGGTCAAGGGTTATTATTCAGCTAATATCAAGAAAATGAACCAACCAGATATAATAATGAACAAAGGCATCACATAGAATTAGAAGAAGTTTGCAGTTAGAACAGTGGGCAGGACAAAGATCTACCTTCATGGCCTCTTCCAGGGCAGGTAGAGCCTCGTCCAGGTCTCGCTGTGCATTGTCAGCCATACTTTTACACAGTAACTCTTCTGACTTAATTTTTCACTGTCAGCGCTCACCGTCTGGAAACAAGCAGCCAAATATGAACCCATCTGTCACTGACTATTATGTTTCTCCTCCTATTAGTCAACTACCAGGTGTCAGGTGAACCACATAAATGACCATTTAGTAATTTCTGTGCATGAACATGTTAAAGGCACTTACCTTCTGCTGCTTGTTGGCATTTCCCTTTTGTTGTGCAATGACGGACAAGTATTCGTCACACTGCTTCTGGAACTCAATCACCTGCGTTTTGGCGTCCTCAAGCTCCACAGACATGGCCTCCACTTTCTCTCGAGTGTCGTTGACTTTGAAAAGGCCGTTACGCAACTTGTTCACCTGCTCCCCCAACTCACTCCGTTTCTCTGCCAACAGCCTTGATGGACACAAATAAAAATGCAATCAAATAACTGACAAACTGATTTTAACAGCAGGGGGTTAAACAAGATCCTGCTCGTTCTAGTTTATCTCTATTCCGATGACGTAGGTGTTTACATTACATGTATACAGTGTGCACATTTGCACTCAAAAACAGGATCATCCAAGTCTATCTTTATCTATGTGACTCTCAATCACACTTGAAGCATTTGAAGGTGGTGTACAAAAATGGAAGATTAAAAAAGTAAAGGAGAGAATAAAAAGGCGCCTACTTCTTGTATCCAGACACCAGTTCCAGGTAGTTGGTGGGCATCACACAATTATTTCTCCTCAGCTCCAATTTCATCCTTTGGGAGACTTGTTCCACTGACTGGTGTGTGGTCACAAAGATACTGGCAACCTTTGTCTGGATCTACAACATCACGTAGCATATGTAAAAATGTCATCCTGACATTTAGACAACAACAGTCACATTATTTACACTTGTTCTTTGATTAGGGCATTGCAAAGTTTCACAGTAGCATTAAGGTCGGTTTGCAGTTGATATGATAGTTTTTTGCTTTTTGTTTTTCTGAACTTGTAACATTTCACAAGAGTTTTTATGCTGTACTATGGAATTTTTTAAAAATGTGAATAGATTTTTTTCTGCTATTATTAGAAAATAGCTGTTTTAAATCACGTGTTAAATTACACTGGTGATTTATCAAGTGAAATCAGTGCTCTTAAGACGGTTTAAAAAACCCAGTGTGAATAAGGTCTGCAATTCAAGGTGCACAACATTGAGAACTTTTTCCCCATTCAGTTATGTCTACATGTCAGATTTCTTTCATCAGCCATCTTTTTCCCTGTTTCTTTCCAGTTTAAAGGCTTGGATGACAACCATGAGTTTCACCTTACAGATTCAACAATGTAAAGTCAAATGCCAACATATAAAATATGTGTGTCAGTGTGCATGCATGCCTCACCCCCTCTAAGGAGCCCAGGTCCAGTCCGTCCAAGTACCTCTCAGCTACCTCCAGCAGGGCATCTTTGGGCCAGTCACAGAACCAGTCAATGGTAGTGCAGTTGACAAGTGCTGGGTACTGGAGGATGCGGTTCCTGTTAGCAAACAAACACATGTGGATAGAATTTGTAGATACCTGCTACAGTCCTGTGGACACAGGGACTATACATGGGTGTAAAAATTTGGCAGATCCACCTATTCATCCATTATCTGTACACCGCATTATCTGTACACCGCTTAATCCTCACTAGGGTCACATTCACACCTACAGACAATTTAGAATCACCAATTAACCTCAGCGTGTTTTTGGAATGTCGGAGGAAGCCAGAGAACCCAGAGAGAACCCACACTGCACGGAGAGAACATGCAAACTCCACGCAGAAAGATTCCAGGTGTCCTCACTGGGATGCGAACCGGCAACCTTCTTGCTGCGAGGCAACAGTGCTAACCACTAGGGGTGTAACGGTACACAAAAATCACAGTTCGGTACGCACCTCGGTACTGAAGTCACGATTCGGTACAGCATGATTCAGTTCTCAGTTAAGGGGAAAAATGTAACAAAAAATAAACCTGCTCATAATTAATCCAAAACATTTGTTTATTGTATTAAACCAAAAAGCTGTTAGCATCTCACTAAATCTAATTAAATGTACAATGTATACAAATGTAACAGGAATACTGCTGCATAATTCAATATCAAAAAACAAAATAAAATAAATAAAAGTACAAGTGCAGCATTAACAATTCCAGCTTATTGGTCTGCTGTTGTAAATATAATTGAACAACTTTTCCAGGATAAAAAAGGAAGACACTGCTGCAAACAGCCAAGCTCAGCGATAAATATGAAAGATAAATGAATATTTTTCAAATAAATGAAAGAAGTATTATGCTGCCAAATTTGAGCTTGTGTGCTGTTGATAAATGGGGCGGGTTTGTAAAACATGGCTAACTAGCAGAGCACTCTGAGGGCGCAGACCTCCACCAAGCAGCTCATATCCACCATACTGTGATTTCTACCAAGTTCTGCATTCATTTGATCTACACTATTAGATTCATGGATAATCAAAACATAGCTTTAGCATTTGAGTTAACACTGATATCATCAATATCAAGCTGATGGAGTGATGAACGGTCTTTCTGCACTCTCTAATATTTTGATTCTGATTTTAATCTTCCAGCTCTGGCTTGTTATTGTTGTTGTTGCTAGCATTTGCCATCCCATTCACTAGCCATACAGACTGGGCTTATAATGAAGCGCCGACAGGAGAATAAACGGTCCATCACATCCTGTGGTCCACTGGAAACTCCTACTTGGTTTTAGCTCCACAATACTGCACAACTGTGAGCCGGAGAAGGTCCACCGCAGCTGGGCACTATGAGATTTAAAGTTTTGCAATTGAAACAATTCTGTACATTGGCCATTCTTAATAGTCTCAAAATTTTCATACCGCAGTACACCTCTGTACCGAACCGAAAGGGCCTGTACCGAACGGTTTGGTACGAATACATGTATTGTTACACCCCTACAAAGCACTGATCCACCTTGCAGACCCAATTTGGCAGATGGTGAAGAACAAAATAAGCCTTTAAAATCTTTGTGAACTCTCTGTAGGTAAGACAAAAAGTCGCATCTCTCAGAGCACAAAAACTTTCATCTGTCCATATCTGCAACTGCAAAGTCTTTTTATGTTTTTCATTTATTCTGCCTTAGTTGTAAAAATATGTATTAAATGTGTAAAACTGATTTGTCAAGGAACAGCTTGACAAATGACAAATGTTCCTCTGCATATGCACTAAGGTCATTTTAAATGAAGCTGTTGTTTGCTGCAAATGCTGTATTGACATATTAGCACTGTAAAATAAATGCAGAAATATCACAGGCTCTGGGCAGTATGACACAAACGTTCGTAGCAGACCTGATTTGAATTAACTTCCTACAGTAAGGGACAATATGCTGTATGGTGAAGAAGTGATCCCTGAGCTCTACTTGCAGCTAGTAGTCAGAGAGTCGGGATGTGTCGTCACACAGAGAACAGTGATTAACTCTGGGTAATAGTGCCAATTAGCAGCATTATGTGAGACCACTACACAGTGTCTCTAATTACAAGGAGATGAATGCTTGAGGGAGAAGAGCTGTTTTGTTATGAATAAAAGAAAAGGTGTGTCCATCAGTGTGCTTACTGCATCCGTGTGTATACAGACAGTGAGCTCTCTTTGTCACAGCATCCACACTGCCTAGAATTACAGCAAGCCTCTGGTCCTTGCTGTGCAATCACTCAAATAACTAGACCTTCGTTGCTCAAGATGACTCATCACTCCCACTAGAACCACGAGGAGCTCTAAAGAGGCACTGTAGGGAATAGTCATGCTGTACAAGACCAACCGTGTAATTAATTTTCATTATTTGCAAACCCTCTATGATTAAAATTTGATTTCAAAGAGAAGCTGACATTGTGTCTTTGATTATGCTCGGAACACAGAGGTGCTTTGGTTGTGTCAGCTGGCACGGATCAAAAACAAAGCAACAATCATGTACATTCCCTCCCTCTCATTTCTTATTTGTTCAATATCAAAAATAAGCCTGTAATAAAAATACATAAAGGGGACGGCCTGATTGTCAAGTGTGATTTCCTGCTACCTGGACCCTTACTGCATGTCATTACAGTGCTCAGTTTTTTACAGTCTGTCTGTACCACATTTATCTTATAAAAACAAATATGGCCCACTCAGAAAAAAAAAATAAAATAAAATAAAATCTTTAGAAATACAGACTGGGCAAATGGATGCTACAAGGACACAACTGTGCATGCTAACATTGAAATGTAGGCTAAATATAATGCCATTGACGTTATATGAAACTTCCTTTTTGAAATGAAATTCCCAGCTGTCCAGGCAGCAATGTATGTATTGCTGCAGGAGTGAAGTTTCTAAAGGTTTGCAGTTCTTCAGTCTGCAAGGAGTAAATTCTATTCAGACTGGGCTAATATTCATAAACATGTGTATCAAAAAAAGAAGAGCAAGTCAGATTCTCAAGGACAGGAGAAAAAAAAAAAGGAAGTAGGAACATATTTTCAACCAAGATATATTACAGTAAATGATGTACCTGAAGACTTCTCCCACTGGGCTCATACACAGAACTACGTGCAGGTTGTTCCTGACTCGCTCAATCAAGTAGCTGAACAACGAGTCAGGCGTCTCCACCACCTTGTCTTTCCTGGCCGACTCTGACAGAGCATTGCAAACCTGAAGGCAAACAGACAGCGAATCAGAAGTTTAAAAAAAAAAAAGAACATCCCATGAAAGTTTTAGACTTTTTCAACATTTTTGAAGTAAACACTTAATCGTCACATTAGCATAACGCCCACTGACGCATAGAATTGATATTTTGTGGTGAATTTTGATGATAAAAACAAAAACAAAACAACAACAAAAAACTGATAAGCCAGATAGAAAAAGTTCACCACACCTGTAAATCTATAAATTAGAATTAGGGGTTTCACGCTGGGTGCAAATGATTAGAACTTCCATAGCGATCAAACCTGTCTCATTTAAACCTCTGACATTTAGAGGCTGTAGCTCTCTTTCTTATTGAGGTGTGTGGTAACATCATGGCAAGCCTTAAAGTTCAGTCTAAAGCCTTCAGAGAAAAGGTTGTGGATGCCTATGAGTCTGGCAAAAGTTTGAAAAAGATCTCTGAAATAACTAAGAAAACTGTTTAGCTTGAACTAATTGATTCCACTATAAATTCTGCGTCATATCAAAGACTGAATTTGTCTGAAAGTTGAACCTTCGGAAAGTTGAACCTTCGGACCTTCGGGATAACAATCTTCAGCACAGAAAGGATCAAGTGAGCAAATCCACGGAGGAATGGCTCAAAAAAGAGGAAATGGGATGGCCTTGTCAAAGCCCAGATTTGAATCCCATTTCCATCGCTATGAGTAATTGAAACAAGCAGTACATGGAGAGAGAGAGAAAAAAAAATAAATAAATAAAACTCTCTTGCAGCTGGAGAAATTTTACATGAAGAGTGGACAAAATTTTCAGCAAGCCAGTGTCAGATAGTGATGAAATAATTATGACAGACTTAGGTTTAAACAGACTTAAAACTGCCCTATGGTTAAAATCGATTTCATTTAAACGACTTCTGTGTTTCCTGTTGGCTTTAACAAATTTGCAAGTATGCAAAAAGGCATGAAAATAAACACATACACTTGAGTCACATAGACGGACAGACACAAGGTCAACAAGGTTTGAGAAAAATACAGACCTCAACAAATTCATCCTGCTTGTAGAGGTTAGGCACCTCTCCAGAGCTCAGGATGTTATTGATGTCCTCCAAGAAGGATTCCTCGGCGATCTGGGTGTCATTAAAAAGGAACACTGTGGGCTTGTTGTCCACTCCAGTCAAACGGTACAGCTTCTTGATGTCTGATAACAAAGACAGAAAAATCCCTTATTGTGAAAGTACTGTAGTTGACTGAAGAAGGGATGAAGGACTCACTGTACAAACAGAATAGAGCAACAACCAAATTCATGCAAATCAGCCATGAGTAAAACTATACTGAATAATAAAGTATACATGTGAGTCCCATGATTTTTCTTATCCTTTATACTATTATTTTACAGACAAATGGGTTACTTCCAGAGCAGACGATGGGGAATACAGTCATGCTTTCCCATTCTCAAATATCTGTAAATGTAATGCTTGTATGTTTGAGCTCACCTTCTCGAAACTCCTGTTTGCGGTACTGCCTGGTGACTTCCACCTGGAACACCTGGTACTCACAGATGTAGGCGGCGATCTTAGACAGACTCTGTCTGCCTGAACCCCCAACACCAACCAGCAGCATGTTGCCCCTGAGCTGACTGATGACCCGTACAACACGGGTTACTGTGGTGGGAATAAAAATAAATAAATTACACACATCATGAATTTCAACTCAAATTATTTATATGCAGTATTCCTACAATTAAACTGTACGTGGCCTGTACAATAAACACATCTATTTCATAAATATTCATAGTAATTGTCATCATACTGGCTTTTGTTGCTAGAACATTATTTTTTGTGTGACAAAATCAGTGTTGTGAAACTGACAGTTTAAGTCTAAAGTCTTCATACACCTTAGCCAAATACATTTAAACTAATATTTACGATTAATAAACCGGCCCTGTTTTAGTTCGGGTTGTAACACTACTTTATTTTAAGAATGTGAAATGTCAGAATAGTGAAGTTTTAGCTTGTACGTCTTTCAGCACATCCCAAGTAAGGCAGAAGTTTAGATACGCTTTGTTTAGTGGTTGATAGCTGTGGCTCTAAATTGTTTAATTCAGATTAAACCTTTCAGGTAGTATGTCATAACCTTACCACAAAAAGCCATTGGCATTCTTGACTATTTATCCTGACAGAACTGAGCTAGTGGATGGACCTTTTTTCAGTTATGTCCACTAATTAATTAATTAAGATCAAGACTTAAAATCCCTTGATCACATTGCCACCAATTTTGTAAAGTGTTATAGTCCCTCTTTCAGCACAGCAAGCCCCCCCAACAAACAAAACATGATGCTGCCACCACCATGCTTCACAGATGGGACTGTGTTCTTTAGCTTACAAGCCTCACCCTTTTCCTGTAAAACATAATAATGGTCATTATGACCAAAGAGTTTTGTCTCAGACCTGAGGATGTTTCTCCAAAAATAATATGTTTGTCACCATGTACAGCTGTTAACGGTGGTCTTGCTTTTTTATACCAGATTTGGCACAGTGCCTTCTTCCTTGCTGTACAGTTGTTCAGGCTATGTTGACATAGGACACATTATACAGTGGATTTAAATACTATTGTTTCCTTTTCCCTCAGCATCTTCATAGGATCCTTTGCTGTTGTTTTGGGATTGATGTGCACTTTTCTCAACAAAATGAGCTATGATAACACTTGTCCATCCTGAGGTGTATGACGGCCCATGGTATTATACTTTCTGCAAATAACCATGCTACACTGATACTTGCAACACATACACAAAATTGATACATAAATATACAAGTAAATTGCTCAAAAGGATGTACCAGATTAGTGAAGGTTAAAATTATTTTTCCTGAGGGCTGATTTGTTTTGATTATCAAACGGAGAGGCACTGAGTTTGAAGGTAGGCCTTAAAATTCATTTCCAGGTACATCTCCTAATGAATCAAATGGTGTCAAACAGCCTAACAGAAGTTCCGAAAGTCCTCTGGAAATCCTCAAGCTGTTTAAAAGCACAGTGAGCTTATTGTCTGTAAATGCCTGATCCACTAGAAAAGTGACTGTGAACTAAAAGGGAAGCAATCTTCACTAGGACAATTGTATGCACATATATTACCCTTTTGCATATGTGCACAAGAGTGTGGGTGGATACAAGTGTCGCGTTTTCAGACATACTGTGTTTGATGGCATCTTGGAAGAGCACCAGGCTCATGGGCACTACACCAGGTGTCAGGTTGTAGTCCTCCAGCTGCATTTCCATGAACTTTTTTAGACCCTTCATGTCTAGCAGGTCCTCATAGACAGAAGAGTCATTCATGAAATCACCTAAACAACACACAGAAAAAAAAATAAACACAAATATATTCATATCTTTTGGATTGATAACGGCATAATGCTAATACCACAGTCAATTAAATTTAAAACTGTATCTGTAAGAATATTCTACAAACATTGGTGTGACATAGATGAGTGTGTATAGTAATGTACAAACCAAATATAGGTGGTTGTTTATTTGGGCAGATGCTGTGGAATGTGAGGTCAAAGAGTGAACCCAGTTTTTCCCCCAACAAAGCAACAAAGGTATCCATGTCACTGCGATTTACAAGACGATCCGAGAAAACCCTGAAATGAACAGAACATGGTATTATCCATAATTTACCTACTATATACATGACAAAAGCACCTGCACATTTTGGCTTAGGTAAAGCATTGAAACTGTCATAATGACGCTAGAGCTACAGTAAATATGCTGGATGACTGTGAGATTTGAATACAGAAACATCTCTGTTTACCTAAAGCACTCGTGAATCCACAGTCTAGTAAGGCTGTTAGTGGTGTCCTGGAAGTCTGGGTTAGCTCTGAGCAGGCCCTGAAACACCTACAAGACAAACGACATATATAAACCATCTAACACTTTCATTTGCAGACTGTTTCGTTAAATTCGGGAAAATGTGTTACCATAGGCATATGTGGGTTATCTTGATTTATCAATGTGAGCTTTAGCAAGGTGTAATGAGTCAGTAGTTTTAATAAAAAATCCATATTCATCTATATATGTTCTACCTTGGAGATATCCCTCATGTTGAAGAGGTAGTGTATCTTGGCTGGAGTTGGAAGAAAACGAGAAGTGACAGCATAATACAGGTCCAAAGTGGCCTGAGTCAGAACCTCTCCAATGGGCTTCACCTCCTCCTTGAACTCCTGCAGCTTTTGTTTGATCATGGTACTGTAGATGCACTTGATCTGTGACTCCTGCATGCAGAGGGGGCAGCTTTGTTCAAGTTTGGCACATCTTGCAAACACTACAGGCAGCCATGTCAATAACACACAAAGACTTCAAAGTGGTCAGGAGAAAGAAAAACAGAAGAGGAATTTATTTAGAGGTGTAATGATTTCCTTTCATGCTGTCCACTTCGCTTCTACAAGAGGCAAAGCAACTCAAATGCCAAGTGTTTGCATTCAGAATGCAATCTGGCTTCAGCCATTTTCCAAAGCAAAATTATTTTTGTTCTTTTGTAGCAATAGAAAAGAGCATGGAGAGACAAGTGGAGAGGGTGACAAACAAAATGAAAACCTAAAGTGTGACAGGACAGAGCCAGAGATGACAATCTACCCAACAATTGAAAAATACTGAAAATTGCTTGATTGAGAGACAAATTGAGCGAGGAAAGAACTGATGTGCGAAATTCAACAAAACAAGGCTAATGAAAAGGAGAGGGTAAACTAGAAGGTGGGAAATTTGCAGGCAGATTTTCACTCTGTCATAATTTTGTTGGTGTTGGCTATGGGAAAGACTATCATTGTTATTATGGTTGTAGTCATAATCGGTATTTGTTATACGGTGAGATGAAAAATCAGTTGACAAATGGTGATAGAAGATTACCACAGTCAACCTTGTTGTAATGCACAAAAATAGCTGGGTAACAGAAGTCAGAATAAGACAGAAAAGATGAAGATTCTTGTAAAATACTTTTAGTTAAAAGAGAAAAATATATAACTACATGTTCTAAAAATCCTAGGTATTTCTCATTTCTTATGCATCTGAGATGACGACAGGAAAGAAGAGGGAATATGTTCAGGAGGCTTTACATTAGGAAAGGTCACATTGATGAGGTTGAATCGACTCTGTAAGCGGGCAGAGATGTGAGTCCTCCCTCCACCAGGGGGCCCCATGGATGCCAGCAAGAACATGTCCTAA